CCCAAAAGGTTTACAAAGAAGTTTCCACTAAACTTCCTGTAGAGAAGCTGTTGACCATGCAGAGATTCAACGTTAGCATTATGTTATTGTGGACATAACTCACTGTACGTACAGTGAAGTGGAAAGAACTGTATGTACCTGAGAGATGAAGTAAAGATTTGAGACGAGAGCAGATTGGAGAATGATGGGCATGTTAGAGGTGTAGAACAACTTGATTGGGTAAGAACCCTGTTGTCCACGAGCATTCTTTGATCTCACAGGCAAAACCACACGGAACCCTTGGAAGTAGATCACAATCAGGAAGATCAAGACTGTGGCGAGCAAGTTGGTAACATTTGGAAGGTTTTGCCGGTAGAATGCTTGGCGGAGAGCTGCAACCTTGTTGGACTTGGTTATCAGCATATGGAACAATGCAATAACAGCACCTTCGAACTCAGCTCCACGGCCAGTGTTGATGGTCGTTGGGCTAAATGCCTTCCAGATAATGCTCTCACTGCGTGTCATCAAATTTAAATGTCTAAGAATATCCCATTTACCAGAAATGATCTTGTGCTAGGGATATAAAAGGAAAGGAAAGGGTCAATAAAAGCAAGTAAGAACTGGTCCTACCAGATGTTGGTGGCAATGAAAAGGGAGATTCCAGAGCCAAGACCATATCCCTTCTGAAGAAGCTCGTCAAGGCAGATAACAATGATTCCAGCAAAGAAAAGTTGGAGGATGATGAGAATGGCATTACCAACACCAAGCTGTCCAACTGGCCCATACATTCCAGAAAGAACATATGCAACAGCTTCACCGATAGCAATCAGAATACCAAGAAGCTTCTGAGCACCATTCCTACAAAAACAAGTCCAAACACAAAATAAGAACTCACACAACCACAGCCTAACAACTCAACTAAATCCAGATTACGTCAGAGTCAACAAGGAAACGACATGATCAATCAAAACATGACAACAAACAGCGTTACTTACAAGAGGGCACGGTCCTCACGGACATTGTTGTCAACCTCAATAATCTTAGACCCAGCCAAGAGCTGCATCACAAGCCCAGACGTGACAATAGGAGTAATACCAAGCTCCATCACAGTCCCACGGTTGGAAGCAAGAATCACACGCATCCAATAGAAAGGATCCGCACCAGTGGTAGAGTGAATACCATAGAGAGGAAGCTGACTGCAGACAAGAAAGATGAAAAGAGAGATGACAGTGTAGATAACCTTCTCTCTAAAAGGCACCTTCCTGTCAGCACTCTGCACCTCAGGCAGAAACGCCAAGAATGGCCTCACCAAATGCAAAACTCTAAACCCTCCTCCCATTGTACAACCAAATCAACCTGTATTTGTATTAAAATCAGAAATTAATTTCTAGAAAAAAACATCAGATCTGTTGATCCAAAGTTGTAAGCTTTACATGCAAACAAACACAACCCACGAAATTAATTAACGAATCTGAATAAAGATGCAAACTTTTACTTTGATCTAAACAACGGATCTATACGTAATTGTTAATTGGATTAAACAGATCTAAGAAACCCTAAATCAACAATCAACACAGATCTGATTCAATGCCACCTACCCAATTTTTATTCCAAATCAAGAAAATGTTTTGAGCAGAGATATGAAGAGAGGTTATAAGGAATGTGGAGATCGATCACCTTTCGATGATATTTTTGCTTAGCCTTACACACGGCGGAGAAAGAAAGAAAGAGCGTTTAGTTTTGAAATGATGTTTGGTCAACGAAGACGAAGGTCATCCTCTTATAGTTGGTTTTTTTATTTTTTTGATTAATGCTAAATCGTGGCGTTGTGAGAGAATTATGCTCGACACGATAGTCTAACAAATCATTGTTCACCACGTCAGCTTTAGTTTTTGGACACAGACTGGGCCGGGTTTTTTTTTTGAAAGGTTGTTTATTAAATGGGCTTTTGCTGACTAGTAAACTCTCCAATGTCTCCCCATTATGATTTATATAAGCTTTGCTAACATCCATTAACTCTACTGTATATAAGCTGCATCATGGAGATTCAGATCATTAGAGCATGTGCATTGAAGTGTTTTAACAGGGATTCACACGGTTCCCAAAAAAAAATTTAATACAATTTGTGTGATTGTACAAGGCCGCTTCTCCCATTAAATCTATATGACCCGAGTTCATCGTTATTTTGTGGGTCCCACGACACGTGGTGGTTCGCGATTGATTTGTTTAGTTTTTTTAATTAAACAAAAAAAGTAAAAATAATAATAGTAAAAGATTTTTATGAACTCCGCCCCGGTTTATTAATGCACATGTTCTTAAATGAGCTATAAGGACTAGAAAGACGCAAAAGAAAAGAAAATCCATTTAGTTTTGAATTATCGATGATGTTTTAATCTTTGAGGTGTATTGTTATGACTTATGAGAGGAAAATGGTCCCTTAATTACTTGAATGTGTTTCATATATATGTGGAGGGAGTGAGGCTTGAAGCATATGAAGGTTGATAAATAATGCGTTGAAATTACTATAATATATACTGCTTTTTGGTTAGTCAAGTAAAAGTTTGATCAGTGTCCATAGTTTCAGACTTTTAGTTGTGTACTATTGTGTACTAGAAAACCTAGTTTTTACCTTGATTAGGAAGAAATAAGAAAATATCTCAAAGACAACCTGATTTTTACTCTACGTCTCTCTCTTCTTCCTCTACAAATTTTAACTTGAAAGTTGATAATTTAACAAACGTCTTGAACTTGAAGAGGCCGTCATGTTCACATATGTATCGAAAGGGAAATAAAACTTGTGCTACAAAAAAAGAAAAAAAACTTGTGCTATAAATAAGCGGGAAAACGGCTTATTCATACCCACACTAGAGTATTTGAGAAAACATACCTAATTTTGTTTTGTATACAAAAACATACCTAAATTTTTCTTGTGTGTTAAAAAACATACTTAAACTATACATAATTTGAATTACATACACGAACTTATAAAATCTATGCTAATTCATACACTGATATTAACTGTGTTTAATGAGAAATTTTCTAGGATAATTTCTTTTAATTAATTTTTACAAAAAACTTTTAAAATAGAAAATGACCAAATATTTTTATACAAATATATTCTTATACCTATAATGCTAAATAACCCTAGACATTTTTTTGTTTAAATTTAAGGGTGAGATTTTGAGCTGGAGTTTAAAATATTCAAGAATATAAAATAAATATTAAAAGTTTTAAAAGAAAATTTTGATAAATATTTTCAAAAAGCCTTTTTGAATTTCAAAAAAAAAATCAGAAAAGCAATTTCGAAAAAAAAATTTATTAAAAAGTGCGAATCTGAAAAACTTATAATCCAAAAAAATATATTTTATTTTAATATTTAATTTTAATATTTATTATTTATATATTTATAAAAAATGGTACAAAAGTCTTCTCTCTTTTTAACCTTAGGTTTTAGTTGCGACTGACAGTAAAATATTGGTCCAAAATCGTTGAAGGTTAAGAGGAAGAAGATGAATAAACGATGCCGTTTTACTATGCTCCAAAAAATTTAATATTCGGTTCAAAATAGTTTTAATATTCAGCTCCAAATATTTAAATTTTAACCTATTATATTTTAGGCTTTTATACAACATGTTTGTGTGTGAAGCTGACTAATCAGCCACATTTTATACTAGTTAGTATTGTTAACTATGATTAAATATTGTTAATGTTAATGTATGAATTAGCGTGGATTCTATAAGTTCATGTATGTAATTCCAATTATGTATAATTTATGTATGTTTTGGCACACAAAAAAAGTTTAGGTGTATTTTCATAAACAAAAAAAAATTAAATATGTTTTAACACGTAAAAAACATTTAGGCATGTTATTTTCAAAAACTCATAGTTCCGGTACGAACATATCGTTTTCCCATAAATAAGCCTTTGAAGATCAACATAAGCACTTCGTTATGTCTTTTTTTATAACACTGATATTAGTTCGAGCCTACAAGGTGGCATAACATACAAAGAAAGCAGGAAAAAGATAGGTGTCAATAGACACGAAGAAAGAAAAGAATAGGAACTCTCACCAAAGCCTTCTACACTTGAGCCTCCAAAGCAAGTAGATGATGGAGCCAAACTGGACCTCCTTGAGCGATATAAGATTGGTGGTGCAAATCTCGAGTGACACTCACCGCAATTGACGTTACGGAGTCATTGCGGACGGGACGAACGTGGTCAACACTCCAACAATCTATTCGTGTGAGAAGAAATCGGATATTGTGGCGAATATGGCTGAAGATATTGTTGTTATCTGGATTTGTGATAACTCCATGAAGGCTTTCAGACGCTGTTTCGAAGATTATATTAGAGAAATGAAGATTATGCATACATTCCACCGCCCAAAAAAGAGCCCATAACTCTACTTCAACTACTGTACGCATGCACGAGTAAGATCGACGACTATGCATGATTGTAGACCCATGTTCATCACGTAGAATCCATGAAGCACTAGAAAGAAGGCTCGAATTTAACCATGAGGATCCAACATTACATTTAAGAAATCCATGTGGTGGTTTTTTCCATCCTCTCTGATCCGTCTCATTAGCATCACTAGTACCTTCATTCTTACATGAAAAAGTGTCAAACCATGTGGATTCTTCTTCATAGGCTCGTTTTGCAATTAACGACAGTGGTAGAACTTTATTTTCAAAAATAAAAGCATTCCTAGATTTCCAAATTTCCCATAACAACCATGGGAAGACATTCCTAACACAAACATACATGCATTTGATCCTAAAACATACTAGAACTGCTTGCACAGTTTGCTTTCAAATTCAAGTTTTTCCAGTATAGCCAAAACATAAAAGGCCATCTTCTCAACAAGACCATTCTTGTTTCTTGATTCTACTTAATTTTTAATCTTTACTTGTTTAAAGATCTAGTTGAAAAAAGGTTTAAGTAAATACAGAGATAGGAATTAATCATCAAAACTAGATATCCTATGGATTTGATGAAAAGCTTTGAGAAAATGAGATGAGTCACGCATGAGCTAGCTTGGCCAATGAATCCAGGTTTAGAATCTTGATGTCGAGAGTGTCATCTAGCTTAACTATACCGTCAGATCCATCCAGACCAATGAGCTTAGCTAGTAAACCACGATGCTTGCCTCCTACAATCTTCACTCGTTCGTTCTTCCTCGGACACACTAACCTCACTTCGTTTTGTACCGCCATAACTGTTTCGCCTTCACCTCTGTCTCCAAGAGCGACTACACAGGACCCATCCTGATGACCAAAAAATTATCACAACAGTGGAACATGAGTGAAGCCTCTTCTAAAGAATAACACCAATGAAACGTTTCTCCAATTAAAGCAACATACTATTCTTCTTTGTATATATGTAAAGAGAACATTACCGGAAGAACATCTCGGATGACACCAACATTGATATTTTCTCCGGCCTTGTGTACATTGACCAAAATACCAGGCATCAACCATGTTTCTGCGTCCCCACCTAGTTGAGTTAAGAAATTATGAGGATCCAAAATCTCTTCTTATTAACTAGATGATATGAGATGCAAAAAAAACACCAACGGTATAAACCCTATTGTCAAAAAGCCTAGTAGAACAATTACTATTTAGAGTTGGATTTAACATACACTATCACTTGGTCATGGTATGTGTCTAGAAAGTAAGAACAGAGATAAATGGAAGCTTCAAGATATGCTCAATTAGGGAACAATCAAGACCAGCGGATATATCATTTTCATCTACAAATAATAAGAGATTATAGGCACCTATATCCGGAGACTGAACATCTAGATCAGTTCCAGGAGTCATTGGTTGTCCTCCAGGAGTGCTAGGTAGGTAGGAAGCCGAGTTTGGTGTCATAGGCTGGTAAGGACTTGGAGCATTAGCTGCATGAGAAAACTATGTGATCAGAACAAGTTTCGTAAAGCTGAAAACCGCCAAAGCAAAAAAAGATATAGTAGGGTCCATACCATCTCTTGGTGTTCCAGCATCACTGTAATTACGACCAGGAGTGCTACTATCCCATCCTGATCCAGGCGTAGCTGCGTCGTATGTACGCATAGGACTTGCCGGCTGAGAAGCAGAGGATTAACGTAAATTTTTAACTAGTGATCACCAAGCTATATATGTCACAGATTGATTCTTACCTGATACAGTAAACTTGTTCCCCATGATCCTGAGTTTCCATCTTCCCAGCTATCCCTGTAACAAAAACAACCACAGTTTGACATATATATTATATACACTTGCTCAAAATTTACCACCTCTGAAATGTGAATCTTAAATATAAAATATCCGTGTATGTTTGTACCGAGGAGGACTCATAGGCGTGTAAGGATTCCAAGCTCTATCACGCATAGGTGTCCTCATTCCATTATGGATAGGTGTAGCTGAAGTTTTTCATAAAATAATCAAAAACAAAGCAAAAAACAATTAAACTCAATGCTGCAAAATAACTGAGGTAACAAACCTCCAGAATCCCGCATGGGAGTCATACAAGGATGAAGTGGAGTCCGGGAAGGATGCAAAGGAGTTTGGCTTCCCATATTATACTGAGAGGGTGTCGCTACATTCTCATTCACATCTGCTATCGCGTCTCTAGCAACTGTACATACAAAGAAGAGTTAAAGAGTGTATTCAACATGCAGAAACCAAGTAGTGTGTGTAGAGGAGAGAGCTTGCCTGTCACAATTCTTGCCTCGTGTTCCAAACGCACTGTCTTTTCTTTGACTTCTAATATACGACCTCTATATCCTTTGAAAGGCCCCATACGAACTTTCACATAAGCACCAACCAAAAGATCGTGACCCCTTCCTCCTCTTCCACTCCAATGCCTTCCTCCAGCTCCAGCTGCTCACATAAAAGTTATATATAAACCATAAATGATTTTAACTTGATAAAACCTTTCAAACTATATCCACTTCTAAAAGAACTACCTAGAGTTTTAGAATAATTAAGTCAGCGGAATCATTTCCATTTTTAACATCTAGATTGCAGATATTAACTGAAACCAAATACAAGGAACTCCAAGTGATAACTAAAAATAGGATGATGAAATCTCAACATACAGTCTGCCCGTTGAAATCTTCTTGGAGATGGAGGCACCGGGGCTGGTGGCTTGGGATTGCCTAGCCTTGAGAAAGAGTCAACCTATGGTAGAAACTGTTAATTCGCCGAGATTAGGAAAAACATAAGCAGACTTGATAACAGAGGCTTACAATTCTATCAGCGGCAGAATTTGATCCACCAACAAGAACACAAGATGAGCATTTAGCGCAGAGAAATCCAGCGTTCTCAACGTTATGCCGGTCATGTAAAAATAACACTCCTTTGTAGATTTGCACCACTGGACCTTGTTTACCCTATCAGAAGCAAATCAATCAGGATATAAGACTAACAAAATTGAATGGTAATTATACAGAGTTTTCTAACAAACTTGAATGCAATGAAACTCACTTTGTTAGGACCATCAATGACCCTCACAACATCTTTCACCGTGATGACATTTTTGTTACGATCTTTCGCATTGATTCTCTTCTCAATTTTGTACTTTATTTCTCCGTGTTTGACAATAACCAGCTCCGTTCTTCCAGGAACCCCTTTAAGAATCTGAACAAGTTTAATACAGAGTTACTGCAGATCGTGAAACAAACATATTTGAAATGATGAACAATAACAATTGTATGATTGTATCCACATTTAAAATTGGTAGGTTACCTGAATAGCTTCATTATCAAGTTTTATGATAACTCCAAAGCTCAAGTTGCTGCATTGTGTAAAATAAAGCTCTTATTTACATGAAAATGGTATCACTGGAAGTGGTTGGCATTAAACTTACCTTAGAAGTACAAGATCATGAAGTTCATACTCTCCCATTTTTGTTACACCGTTAGTCACTTCTGCACTCTTCACAACGTGATCAGCGAATACACGAATCTGCACATGTATATATAAATATATATAGTTATCTCCTGTTATCAATTACCCTGGTCAGAAATTAACGAAAAGTTTACACAAAAATGGCCTTACATGTTGCTTGGTCGTATCAGACAGAATGCTAAGTACATGCTGCTCAACTTTGACAACCATGCCGGTTGCTCCTTCATTGGTGCCACAAACAACCTTCACATGATTTCCAGGTTCAAAGTACTTGCAAAGCTCTTTCTCGTTTACAGCAAGAGGATTCTGCCACAAGAATCATATTTTACTGGCTGCAACATTATAGAATTATAAACATGTTGTTGCTGAAAAGATGAAAGAGTTTGGATGCTTACATGAAGACCTTTCGTATCTGATCTGATGAGAACATTCTCTTCATCTACTTTCTCAACCCACCCCTTCAAATTTTTTAGATCACCTTTGATAACAATAACCTCATCACCTTTCATGAAATGACCCTTTTTCCTATTTGCGAATAAAGTTGACATATCAACAAAGTCAATCTCCCCATTTTCGTTCGCTTTCTTAAATCTTTCAAGTTCATCGAAGGTTGGTGTAACATTCTGAGTAGAAATCGACTTCGTTGATACTTGTTTGTACAGGAACCCATCTTTGAAAAGTAGACCATCTATATTTTCAAAGTAATCACCCGTCATCCGGTCACGTCGGCGCTCAACACGTATGTGAAGTTCCCTGATGGCACGTTAAAAATATTGAATACTCATTACCAAAAGATTGCGTCAAAAGGAGCTAATCAAAACAAGCATAGGATAACTTCCCCAGAGAAGTGCCGTACCTTGCCTCATCCACGTTCATGAAGCGTGGAGGTGGAACAAAAGCTTTCTTCTTGACAATCGGTCTTCCTTCCTTCTAATACCCAAGAAAAAAATGTGCCAGACAAAATATTTTACACATTTAAAGAAAAATAAATTTCAATTATGAAACAAGTACCACCATAATTGCACACCTGCTTATCGGCTAGATGCTGCAGATCAATTCTTGGGATTAACTTGACTGTGACCTTCCTACGTACATCATCAACATCAACCACCTGTACAGAACTTACATATCAGCATGGTTTTAGATAAGTTTTTTTATCAGTAAAACACTTCAAAGAAGATCGTACCTGAGCTAGATCGCCCTTGTATATCCCAAGTTTCATTCTAACCCATGTATCGCGAGCTAGCTCAACTGTTTTACTCTTGACAGAAAGAACATCAGCCATTTCTCTTATAGGAACAAGTAAAATCTTATGATTTGCAAAAATACTCCGCATGCCCTTGATAGCCTAAACCACCAAGAAAAGAACCAACATAATAGCTTCAATCTCATCTAGTCATAACAAAGATAAACATTATCTTATATGCAGCAATCAAATACCTCTTTAACGTGAGCTTCCATATCCGCTTCAACATATATATAGTTCTGAAGATGATCAAGCGCTATAACAGATCTGATCTTGAAATTAGATCCTCTATCTATGGCTTTTTGCATAAGACAAACAGCAACCTCTCTTTCCCGACCAATCTGTAATTTTCAGGGTTGGAAATTCAAGGGTTATGATGATCAGGGCTCTATTACAGAACAAAAATGATATAAGAGGACAGAGAGACACATAATCAGGGCCAGTTCCGACATAAGCAAGTGTAACATTGTCTTAAAAGCTCTAAAATTTTATGACTTATACATAAAACATATATTCTAAGTTGTTGAATACTTCTTTTTTATCAATATTATACCTATAGCCTCAGGATAAATATAAGGAAAAGGGATTTGATTAAACATGATCATACCGCACATTTCACCATCCACAGCTTCGGGTCACGGACTGACGGCAGAAGAGCTTGTTGATCAACGGCTGTAAGCTCTTCTCCTCCTTCATAATCATCATCGTCGTCGTATTGTGCACGTGGCTTAGAATACTTTTCTTGCATAAAATCAAGATACTCTTCAGCACCCACACGAGAACGAAACGTGGGCTCGTGAAACTGCCTGTGAACAACTTCCTCACCACGATGGTCAGCTTCACCATGTTCAATGAAACCTATGCAGTTAACACAAAAGTCACCTATGAACAAGAGATCAAATGTATCTATGAACCCTAACCCTAATTAAGCCAAAAACTTGAAAAGCAGATTCTAAAGGTGAAAGAAGACGATTTGTGAGTTCCTAATTTCGTAGAAGAAGCTAAAATTTTTGTATCTGGCTTACCGTCCTCGACATCTTCATCATCTTCTTCGTCGTCATCTACGATGACGTCATCCTCTATGAATATGGAACCGGAAGGCTTTCTTTTCTTGCCACGCGCAGCGGCGGAATCTGGATTTGATCTTCCCCTCTTCTTCCGTGAGTTTCTCGGTTCTTCTTCTTCCTCATCGAACTCGGAATCATCATCATCATCTTCATAGGAGTAATCATCGTCCTCGGAGTCTGAGTGGTGGGCCATGGTTTCGATTAAAGAAACTAGGGTTCCGATAGGAATCTCTCTCGGCTCTCACCCCGCTTCAAACCCTAGAAACCCTAGATGAAGCGAAAGGGGAGAAACTTTTTTTTTGGCTTTGCACTTGATCGATAACGCTTAAGAGAGTGAAATCAAAATTTTGTGACTTGCCAATTGTCATGCAGTGCTCTCTTTATATAGGCATGCATATGCCCATTTTACCCTCAACGGATTGTGGAGTCTATGGTAGGTTTGCCCACACTTTATTACACCCTTTTACTACCTCAGAAGTATCAAGACACAACTCAGAGCATATCAATGGATTGGGGGTGGAGTTCATAGATTTAATTTTTCATTTTTTTTCGTTTGTTTTAGAAAAAAAAATAATATAGACCAATAGCGGGCCGCCACGTGGTGTGGGGTCCGCTGAATAGTAGTGAAACCAGTTCATCCCAGAGGGGTGGTGAGAGGCGAGTTTATGAATTCTGATTTTTATAATATTTTTTTTTGGGATGTGTGTGAACCTTACCTTTGAATCTTCAATGTAGATGCTCTTAGACTTTTAAATCAAAATCCCTTATTTCAGTGATTTGATTGATAGTTCATCAATGCTTTCACATTAAAAAATCTTTCACATTAAAAAGTATAGATTTTGAATCTCAGAAAAGGTGATTTATTAGACATCTTCACAGGTGGTTCAGAGTATAGTAAGCATACAAGGATAAAACATGCACTTTGCGGAAGATGAGTGTTTGTAACTAAAATATAAGACTTTAGTATTTATAAATTTAAAATTTACATATGATTGTTTTATATGTATTTGGAATTTTGGAATTTTTATATAATTATATATACGTAGGATCAGATACAATTGTAATTAGAATTATAGATCAAAACTTATAGTTTAATGGGTCCGGTTCATATATCTTTTCACTTTTCAGTGTTCGAGAGATGAAAAATAAACAGAGTGTCACATGGCTTAATTGGTAGAACATTATCAAGTTCCCTAATGCTTTCTTAAGAAGCAGTTGGTAGAATATTCACATTTAGAATATATAAAGTTTCAAAACTAATTTAATATAATTTATTTTTTCTTACATAAAATTTTAAATAAAAATAACTTTATACGAAAATAAGTTAAATTTTAAATTATAATTATTTTTAAAAAAATTTATGTATTACGATATGAGATATATATATATATATTAAAATATATATCTATTAAAATAAAATTATTTATTCATATCATTTTATAATTATGTAACTTATTATAGAAAAAAAATTTAGAGCTTGATCACAAAAGTTTTTATATATATATATATATTAAAATATATATCTATTAAAATAAAATTATTTATTCATATGATTTTATAATTATGTAACTTATTATAGAAAAAAAATTAGAGCTTGATCACAAAATTTTATGTGAGATTTTAACAGTTTTAGTAATTTATAGTCGTTTTGAAAATTTCAAAATACAACATATATAAAACATCTAAATTTCTATTGTATGACTAGTGTCGTTGTGTAATTTATTTTAATAACAAAATTAAACAAAAATGATATAAAGTATATAGATTGTTAACAAATCTTTATTATTTAAAATCCTTAATAGTCATATATATATCTTAATAAGATTAGGTAATTTTGTAGGTTTTATTTAAGGAAATAATATATATAGGAGATTTAGTTTGATATTTTATTTAGTTTGATATGTCTTATATGAGACCAACGGACTTTGTTTTAAAACTATGCTTTATATAAGGTGCTTTAGAATTCTTCTATGTAGAATTTCATAAATAACTGCCACATAGGATATGATTTTTTTAATTAGTACAAACTTACGGTTATAACTTTTTAAATGATCCTCAATTAATATATAGGAGATGGTGTGTGCATTTAAATCAAACGATTATTCTTATTTATTAACAATTATTTTATGGTAAATAAATCAAATAATCAATTTTATCCATCATATATTAGATACAATTAAATTTAAATGACATTAACAATATCTATAATATATTTTAAATATGGATGTTTAGTAAATGATTTTTTTCATTATAAGGCTTTATGATTATCAATATATTTTTCTACCAAAATTTTGAACTATTAAAAATTGAATGCAAATTTTAAAATTAAAATATGAAATTCTCAATATTTTTCAGTGAAAATATCAAAATATAAGTATGTATTTTATATGGTATGTAATTTAATTTAAATTATATATGTATTAATACAAATTTAAGGTTATAATTTTTAAATGATCTCCAAATAATATATAGGGGATATGAATCCAGACAAGGTAGATAAACTTTGTCTATGTCATTTTTTCCATAATTATAATATCATAATAAATCAACATTAAAAATGAAGGAATAGTTAATATGATAAAATTATTCAAATCAGCCACATTATACATAGCATACGTTGCATAGTCATATTCACATAGCATACCAAAATCCATGTTTAATCAAATTCAAAAATAAAGTTTTATTGGTTAGTGCCTTATTGGTTAGCCATAAAATCTGTGTTTGTGTATAGTAAAAAATAAAAATTAATTAGTAAAAAATGAAATTTGAAAGTTAAATGAGAAAAACTTAAATGAATTAGATATTTTACAATACTAAAAGGTCTAAATATTCAAAAGAGACTCTGTCCACGTCGTCTAATAAAATCAACCAACCAAAAAATTTTTTTGACACTTTATTTCTTCTTAAGTCAATAATGAAAAAATGATGGGCTTCTTATAAACTTGCTCATTCTATTTTCTTACAGTCTAAATTGAGCCCACTTCTGGAACGTTGATCGTCTCTGCCTCATCCACTTCGTCTTCTCCGTTACAGCTATCCATTACATCAATCAATTGTGTTCTTTACTTATTTCTTTTATGATTCGTTTTACCTCCATCTCTTTCTCCTCATATAATAAACTGCTAAACAACTTCGTTTAAACTTACTTCCAAGCAAACCCGAAAGCATACTTTGAAGAGCCTAAAGCTACAACGATGAACAGGTACGCCAAGAACCAAGCAATGGGTACATTAATCAATTTAACAGAGATTACTTAATATGACTTCGCTTCCCTCAAGCAGGAAATGTCTCAGGTATTAAAACTTTGTTATATAGAAATAAGTATGAGCACTTGCAAACTAAGCTAATACATGCAGTTTAAGAAAACAGATTGCATTTTTTGAATTTGCATTGGTACAAATGATGATGGGCACCACGTCACTGATGGTATTATGTTGCTGCCAGACTAAACTGTATCAAGGGCCGACCTCATATTAGCGTGTTCAAATGAAACAACTAAAACACCATCAGAGTAGCCAAGCAAAGTATCACAGACTCCTGCTTATCTACTTATTTACGCAACACATGTACCTAGAGGAACTGTCCGTTCACCGACAATGGCGGCAAGGATACTTTTGTGCTGCTTTGTGATTCCAGTACTGAGCTCAAATGAAGACAAGCTTTTGAGCTTATGGACAACTATTTCGAAGTAACTTAGGTTGTCATAATTTACCTCATTTACTCAAACTCAGAAATATCATGTGTGAGTCTACACGCAAATGGAGATATTGGACCTGACCATAAAGAATTAATACTGATACACTAAAATTGGATCTTTCCTACTCTTAAGTTAACAGTGATGTTGTAATACTTTAGGATTCAATTCCAGAGGACAAATTTACACTTTATCCTTTTAAACTTAATTGTCAAGCTAAAACAATGTGATAATAATAAGAGAACAGTGAAACGCAAAAGTAACAAACACACGGTAACTGGTTTTTTTCAGAGATAAAAGAGGGTTATCTCAGGGTGGTTAAATGAGTGCTAAGAGAGAACCAGAAAATTATTCAAGTTCATTAAGAACAGCCTAGAACTTAGATTTAAACAGAAGAACATCCTACTGTCGCAGAGCTGTTCCCTTTACATAAAAAAATCGATACCTAAACTTTCAATTGGATTGAGATTCATAAGTAAGCCTTAAGTACAGATCTAACCAGTTCACAACACACTCTAATATCTATTTTCGCTGATTAGGATATGTTGCTCATTCAATACAGATCCAAGGACCTAGAACATGGTTAATGATTAGGTTCAAATTAGTTCATGTATAAAGTGATCAGGTTGATGCAGGCTGTAAGAATAGTATGAATGAAGGCACACGATATGGATACTTATTTATGCCTAGCTCATGATTTAGCACCCTAACACCCTAAGCCAACAATGAAACTACTCGATCATGGTGCAAGCAAACGGAGATGATGACTCTGAATAATACATGATGATATTAATAAACTTAAAAAGGGGGTTTGGGATGATCTTCTCTAATGAGGAGAAAGAGTAGCCGTCTCCCTTACAAAACGAAAGTTCGAAATCCAAAAGCTGGGTTTTTCTTGCAGAAAAAGTAGTATGTCCTAAAAGGAAAATAAATAGAAACTAGGTAATAACCCGCGCTTTGCGCGGAATGAGATTATTATTTTTGTTACTTTTAAGATAAAAAATGATATTAAGTCTGTTTAGCATGGATATTGGTTCAATTTTATGTTGTTTTTTAGTGTCCTAAAATATAACTATAATTCTAAATCTATATTTATTTTTGTTAGTTTGGTTTAAATGTTTGATGTTTTTAATTTTTTGATGATAACCAAAACCTATTGTTATTTGTTTGGTTTCGTTTTATGTAAATTTTAGACATTTTTGATGTCGAACTAATAGTTTTATATTATAATTTCTAAATACATGTAAAATCAAATAAATCTAAATAATATTTCAAGAAAAAAAAGAAAATAAAATTATTAACACAAAACATTTCACTACAATTTGAGCGATAGTGAAACAAAACATTAAAAATTTTGACTTCAATAAGAATTAAAATTCTCACTTGTGGTGAATATTTAGTTATATAGTCGATCATGCAATGTGTACATGTGTGTATATGTAAAAGTATATAAATGTGATTATAAATATATCAATATACCAGTAATTAAGATTTAAAAC